GGCGCCGGCGCCGCGAGTTTTCAGCGCCGCCGCGGACAGCGCCTCCGCCTCCCACCTGACCCCGCGAAGTGGCCTCGGCTCAGAACCCGCAGACCTGACTCTTTGACCCTGTCTCCTGACCTCGCGGGGCAGGGTCCCCCCCTGACGCCCCCACCCCAGGTCTGGGCTCCGTGTCTCGGCTGCTTGAGGGCCAGCGCCGGCTCTGCGCTGTGCCTGGCCAAGGTCATTGGGGGAGATGGGAGAACTGCTGCTGGCTCCCCGCTCGCCTCTCTCCTCCTCCATTCCCCCGCTCCCCCCGACCCCGTCTGTCTGTTCTTGACTTCTACCTCTCCTATCACCTCTCACAAGCCTCCTCCGTCTCTTTCCCCCTCCTCACCCTCTTTTCCATCACCCCTGGTGTCTCTCTGCCTCTCATTTTCCCCCTACCCTAATCCCACTCAGCCGATGGCTTGTTTTCATAGGTCTTGCCTTCAGCTCCCCCTCTACCCCGCCAACCCCAAAGGGAAGGGTTAAGACTCTCAGAGCAGCCTCTGGGAGCCACCCCCAAGAGGGCAGCAGCCAGGGAAGGGAAACGAAATCAGCCTAACATCCCATTTGGCTGGGGACAGTTTTGAGAGGGAGAACTGGGGTGAACAGGCCCCTGATGAACCCGGTTTAGAAGCACTGGGTTCTCCCCTCCAAGGAGAGGCGTAACACCAGCTCTCTCTTTTTCTTCCCAGTCATTGCCCTCCCTGTGAACAGCCCTATGAATAAAGGGGACACCGAGGTAAGAAAGGGTGTGGGGATGCCCCGGGATGGAGGGCAAGAGGCCCCAGTGTACACCGCACAGCCAGTTCTCGGGCAGCTGCAGGAGTGAGTTTGGCATAAAGCCAAGAGCCGGCACTGCGGCTGCTGAGCCTGGGGACAGCCTGCAAAAGAAGATATCAAAGTCTGCTAGATTTCCCTGCTCTCCTGCTGTGAGGACTTCCCTGGCTTCTTCTGACTTAGGTGTGCAGCCTGATGTGTCTTACCTGCTGGGCCAAGGAGCTAGGCCCACTGTCTTGAATGCTCTTAAATCTCGTAGGCCCACCATAGGCTGGTGGGCGTGACTTCTCTGAGATTGTGGTTGTCCGCAGACCTGCGAGAATGGTCTTCACCTGCCTGGCTCTGGGTTCCCTCTTTGCTCTTCCCCAAACTCTGCTGGCAACATTCCCGCTGCTGCCAGGCACTAAGGCCCTGGCTCTCCCAAAGTGTCACAATGAAAACACTCTCAATCATGGCTCCTGCACCCAGGGTCCCGGGCAGTCGAGGCTGAAGGTGGAGGTCACCCAGGAAAGGGCCTTAGGAGACACTGGTAGGGATTTCTGTGGCCAGCAAGAGACACTCTGTTTCATGTATACTCAGAATTGATTCATGCCTGAGTTGGGGCTGTTTTTCTAGTCTCTGATGTTCACAGATACCTCCCCGTGGGAGTCAGAGAAATTTCTACTCCCCACATTTTCAGGAGCTGTTTTCTTCTGTTCCAGAGAGGCTGTAGTTGAAACCAAAAGCATCAAAGAGATTTCAACCTGAACTTACTCATTTATATTTCCTATTCTTGAGTTGCAGACAGGCCTCAGTTTAAACTTCTACCACTCATTGTAGCTGTGTGATCATGGGAAAATTCCTTAACGTCTCTGAGTTTCCCCTTTTCACATCCATTATAATTTTTCTTTTGAGGGGAGTTGTAAGGAATAGGAATCATGTGAAGTGCCTGGTCCTCAGTAAATAAGCATTTTTGTTACTAGAGCTTCCTTTCATGATCTCCCCATCACTCTTGGGACCCATCCCCAGTTCCTCTCTTCCAGAATCTTTCTGCATGGACCAGTGGTTATCTGATAACCCCAGTGCAAGGTCTGTGGTTGCAGCGAGATACAGGGTATGGGTATAAACTCCTTCTTGCCAGATCCCATATGGGAGACATTTTGGCCACCATATCCATATTGTGTTCAGCAGCCTGGGGTCAGGAGCACCAGAGCAGCTGGTTAAGACCTGAATGTTGTATTCTAGGATGCCATGACTACTGTAGAGCCTGTTTGCCAGTTTGCCATCCTGGATCCTAGGACAGGTTGCCTTGGCATCCCGTAGACACAGCCTCCACCCCCTCATTCCCCACCAGTGTTGCCTGATGTGTGTCTGACACCTCCTGCTCCTCCGCCAGGCTCTAGACAGCTGAAGCAGTTTGGAAGTTGTGAATCTCTCCCTGGTGTATGTGGCACTTCTTGCATTATAGAGTATTTTCCCATCTGTGCCTTATCACCCTGGGAGGGGAATTGGGAGGGTCATCTCACTCTCATTTCACAAATGAGGAAATAGAAGCTCAGAGAGGGCAAGTCACTTGCCCAAGATCACACAGCTAGAATACCACACTACAGTTGGCACCATCTTCAAATATCCATTTGTTAGCTGCCTGATTATCCACAGCACCTTGCTGGACACTAGATTAGGCTTTGAGAGATATGGCTACTGTTGGCCTGGGATGGATAGCCGGATGTAGCAGATGTGTGCCCACATCCAGCCAGGGGATTCACCCAGTGGGTGAATATGGACCCAGACTGTGAGACTGTCACTCCCTGCATGTGACAACATTATGGATATTTAGAGACAGTGATCCAAGTCTTGTTTCCAGACAAGGGAGAGCCAGGACGGTCTTTGTTCTCCACTGAGTGGCCCAGAAAGGCTTCCTGCAGATAGCTGACCGTTTGGGCATCTGCAAGACTAAAGTACTTTTGCAAGACATACCTCTAAGCAGCTTCCTCATCTTTAGAGAAACACTTGGGATGAGAAGGTACAGGGTCCCCACCCCACCTTAGAGAGGCTCCCGCTGGCCAGGTGATTGGAGTGCTTGGCACACGGTAAGCACTGTATAAGGGTTTTCTATTATCATGGCTGTGCCCCTGAGCCAGGCATCCCTGGGCTCCTGTACACAAAGACAAATGTCCTTATGTCCTCCTTAGAAATTTGCCCTGGAGCTGCTGGGGGATGAGCCCCATGCCCAAACCAGCTCCAACCTGTCCCACTCTTTTCCCAGGTAATGAAGTGCATCGTTGAGGTCATCTCTGACACACTTTCCAAGCCCAGCCCCACGCCTGTCAGTCAGGAGTGTTTCGAGACGCTCCGAGGAGGTATGGGCTAGGCTGGGGGTGAGGGGCTGCCACCTGCTGGGCTGGGAGGCAAGGACATGGGTGTGTGGCTTTTGATAGAATTCAACAATTTAATAGAATAGTCAACAACCAAGAGCCTGCCTTACCCAGGCCTGTGTGGGGGTCTGAGTCATATAGACAGATGAAGGGCTCCTAGCCCCTGTGCGCCTGGGGCTTACAGACCAGCAGAGGGGACTGCTATGAACACAATTAACTAGAATGCTGGGCAGAATGAAACCAGGGCTGGAAGAGCAAGCCACCAGAATGTGAGCTCCTTGTGGGCAAAGATTTTGTGTGCTATAGCCCAGTGCCTATCCCACAGATGTGGGTTGACTAAAGGAACGCTGTGGGTGGGTGGGCCTGAGAAGGACAAAGCTTTTCCGAGCAGGCAGTCAGTGGTAAATAGATTGAACATTTGCATTGGGGTTGGGCTTTAAGAGAAAAGTTGGAAATCAGTAAGTAGCAAAATGAAAAAAGGGTGCTCCAGGTGGAGTGGACAGCGCAAGCAAGGCATGGAGAGGGGAAAATGTGTTTGGAGACACCCTGCATCACCTCGGGGGCTGCCGTCTCTTTGGCTGAGGTCTGGGTACAGGGACAGTGGCTGAACTTGCTGTTATAGTAGCAAACTGAGTGACACCATGGAAAGGAGATCATTTCAGAAATGTTATCTCAAGACCCAATCTTGCTGCTGCCACCCAGACTTTGAGTTTCCAGAATAAATTCCTTGTGCTCAGCTGAAAATATTGATGGCAATCTCCTCCTCAGCTGTTCGCTGGAAACCACCCATAACGACTCTCCTTCATTGCAGATGAACGGATCCTCTCAATCCTGCGACATCAGAATTTGCTGAAAGAGCTCCAAGATCTCGCTCTCCAAGGTATTTTCCAGCCACTGCACACAGATCTGGGGAAATTCCAGTAACTGAGAGTCAAAAATTATGGTGGAAGGTTGAGCAAGGTCTTATTTCTGATACTCAGCTGTTGCGTTTTAGTTACAGGGTGGTCAAGTGCAGTCCTCTGTGCCACCTTGTCCAGTCTGTCATTGATATAGTTAAAGAGATCAATGCCAAAGAGGTTGAGTGACTTGTCCAAGGTCACACAGTAAGTTAAGGGCATCCTAAGAACAGATGCAGCTTTCCTAATACCCCGTGGTCTCTGGAGCTTAGCCATTTTCGAGGGGGCACTTTTAAGACTGGGTTGCAGAGAGGATCCCTTTCCACTATTAACTGAAAAGAAAATTGGTCTCCAGGAGAGAGGAGGGGCGCCTTTGCCCTTGTGAGCTTCTGCTTACAGGGCAGATGGGAGAAGCAGGGTCTTGCTTGCCCCAGTGTGCTTCAGAGTGAGGCGTAGCTTTCCCCAAGAGGAGCTCCTTGTCACTGAGGATATCAAGCAAAGCCTGGATGGGATGCTGGGATGATGGGTTAGGCTGATGTCATCCCACAGAATTAGCTGCTCTGCCCAGCCCCAAGCACCTTCCTGGGTTCATGTGAGGCGCAGAGACTTCCCTGGCAAATTGGAAAATAGCGAGTTCTGGCCCTACAACTGCCCAAGACTGACTCCCTGGGTGAACTGACTGTTTATTCGGGGGCAGGCTCACAGGCACCCTTGTGCCTCTCCCTGAGGATGGGCCCTCAAGCAAGCATCTCGCATCTGCTTCCACAGAAAGTGAGAGCCATCTCCCGGGCTGGGCTTGTGCCGTGGGTGGGGCGGGGTAGAAGGCATGAAGTCTGTTCTTGCTCAGGGAAGGTCCCCACTCAGAGGCCTTTGGGGGCCATGTTTGAGAACGGAGAGAGCTCTGGGGAAATAACCACCGCAGGGGGGATCCCTGAGGCCCTCCCCAGGTTAACATGCCATTCTTAGTCTCACTCGCCCGTCCTCTTGGAAGGCAACATCCACCATGTATGGTTGCTAGGAGTACAATTTAACGCTAATTTAAAAATTAAATATTGAATGACTAACTTAATACACTACATAATTAAATATAATGTCAATGGAGAAACTGTGATGGGGGATGTGTCCTGAAACATCTGTTTACCTGCACATCTGTGTGTGTTTGTGTAGCCAGTATAAATAGTATCCAATGTACAGATACATTATTGTTTTCTATTAGAAGAGTATGGGACGTATCTATATGTCTGTCCATCCATCCATCCACTCCCTCTTCTGTACTCTCATAATGTCTTCTTCATACCTCTATCCTAGCATTTACCATGTAGCAACCCTGTTTTATAGTTGAGCAACCAAATCTGGGACAGCTCAAGTCACCCAGGGTCACAGAGCAAGGAATTAAGCAGGAGATGTGAAACCCGGTCTGCCTGGGGCCAGATCTGGGCATACTCCCTGCCCCACAGCCACCATGTCAGGCTCCTCTGGCCACTGCAGAAATTTCCATCATGGGAAACAATCACCACCAGCTGCAGAGGTGGCCTCGCTGGGCCATCATGAACAGTTAGGAGACAGCACAGCCTGGGCTGATGCAGGGAGAAGGGTCTCTGGATCACAGCAGCAGGTGCTGACTCTGGGCTTGGATGCAGACAACTGCTTGGCTGGCCTTACGGGGTCCAGGGGGAATAGGGATTACCTGAATCGAGAACCCCCATGAGGGGACAAGTGGCCACTATTACCTCCCGCTGCAGGGTCCCCTAGCCACCTCCGGGCCCGGGGGGGCCCACGCTCTCTGTTCCTGAGATCTTCTGTTCCACCTGAACCTTTATTGCCCTGTGAGGCGGCAGGCAGGGCTTGTTCTTATTTCCTGGGTGAGAAACGGAGTCTGGAGAGATGCTGTGGCTGCCTATGAGACCCAGCCGCTGGGGTGCGGGGTGCAGCCAGCCCTCTCCATTCCCCAGCTAGCTCTTGCCCCGTCAGTCTCTCATCGGGCAGGCCCAGAACGTGACATGCCCAGTTTACAGATGAGGAAATGGAGGCCTTCACTCCTGCAGACAAATATGCGGGGCTCGGACCAGACGGGATTTTCTTCTCGTTTTCTCATACCAGGAGCCAAGGAGAGGGCACATCAAGAGAAGAAACACCGCGATTATGAGGAGGAACTCTCAGAGGTTCTTGAGAAGCAGAACGACCAGGCCGAGCTGAAGGGTCAGTTCCCGCCAGTCTGGGCGGAGACCGGGGAGGGAGGATGACAGTAACAGTAGTTACGACAGCCGGAGGGTTCCCAGGAGTCGGAAGCCCCTCCTGTAGGCCCTGTAAGGTAGCTGTTATTTCCTTCTCTTTACAAATGGGGAAACCGAGGCCCAGCGAGGTTAAAGTACCTTTCCACGGCGTAACTGGTGATGTGACTCTGGGTCTGTCTCGCTCCGAGGACCTTGATGGGTCCCATCCTCCCACCTTAGGCGCTGACACTCTCGGGCAGAAAGTCTCTGGCCTGGCAGGTGGGCAGCTTCGACTCCGCCCAGCAGCCAGTGTGGCCGGGCCCCCGCCCCCAGCGCCTGCCCTCCTGGGAATTAGTGGTGCATCAGCACAGCCTCGCGGCAGCGGATCCCAGAAGAGTGGTTTTGAAACACTAAATGAACCTGGATCACCTTTCCTGAGAGCAGAGAGCTTTTAAGGGTCGCAGAGGTCATGGCTTAAGTCAAGGTGATGCTGTCTTACCTTCCCTCCTGGAAGCAGCCACACACTTGCCCCCGCAGCCTTACTCTTTGCATGTGGAAGGTGAGTGAATAATGCTGATTCCTAGGGGTGGAATCTCAGTGATCTGCCATCCAGGACTGAGAGGGGAAGCTGAGGTGCCCTCACATTGGCCAGGGCTGTCGCCCTAGTGGCTGCTTGGGCACGGTGTGTACTCCCACATTCTGGCTCCTTGGAAACCAGTGTCTGGGTGACTACAGATGTCTACCATGGGCTGTAGGAGGAGGAATAGTGGAGCATTAATGAGGGAGACAGTCACATGTCAGTGCAAAAAGCGCCTTTAACTTGGAATTTGGAGGCTTAGGTTCGAGGCTTGGCTCTGTTGACTGTGAGCACAGACAGGTCACCTTCCCATTATGAGGATCCGTTTGACTTTCTGTAAAATGGGCTTGAGAGCACTTTCTCTTGGAGTCAAATGGTGGAATGTACTTGGTAGTGTTTTGTTCAACAATAATCTTTCTAGCAATAGAAGGGATTTTTACTAGTTAAAAAGCTGTCTTCAAAGCAGCTACAAGAAAATACCTTTTAACGAAACCTGACAAATATTGAGGAATTGAGCACTTTCACAGGATGCTCAAGACAGAGGACCCCTGCACAGAGGGGAAAATGAAATTGTAGTAATGGTGCTTCTTACACAGAGAGGTTAAGGGACTTGCCCAAGATCACACAGCAATTCAGCTGAATTTTAACTTTTAATTTTAAATTTAGGGCTCTATGTTCTGAGGTGATTTTCAAGGTTTTGTTTGTTTGTTTGTTTGTTTGTTTTGTTTTTTTAAATCACATTCTGCTTTGAGAGGTGGAATTACAAAGAAATACAACCCAGCTGTGCTCAGGTTAAACTTAGACATGGAGAAGGCAGGCCTGATTCTCTCATGGATGTTTTGGACTGGGCTTGCTGAAAGCCATGAGAGTCAGTGACTAAGATCTGAAATTGGGCTCTGGGGAGATCCCATATGCAGCCTGATCCTCAGGGCCTGACTCTGCTCTGTTGTTTCTGTAGCGGAGACAGAAGAGGCATCCTCCAAGGAAGCTGCAGAAAAAAGGGGAGATTCTGAAGAGATGAAGAAGAATGGTGAAGACACAGATGGAGCCAGACCTTACGCCTCGTCGGAGCTTAGGCAGGGGTCCGAGGTTGAGGAGGACAACCAGGCCCCAGAGAAGGAGGAGGCCACTGACAGCCACCCTCTAGCCAGCCTCCCCAACCAGAAACACCCAGGCCCACAGGCTGAGGAGGACAACGAGGGCCCCTCCCAGGGTCCAGTGGACAGAGAGAAGGACCTGAGTGCAGAGCAAGGACAGCAGGCAAAAAGAGAAGAGGAGGAGGAGGAGGCGGCGGCAGAGGCTGGAGAGAAAGCTGTGCCAGAGGAAGAAGGCCCCACCGCAGCATTTAACCCCCACCCGAGCCTCAGCTACAAGGAGATCCAGAGGGGTAAGAGTGTGTATGACGCCTGAGACTTCAACAGATGTGTTGAGGAGGGGGGCAGGTGTGGGGGGCTCACCCATAATCTCATTCCACCTTCACAACAACCCTAAGAGGTTGGTATTATCTGCATTTGCCTGATGGGAAACTGAGGCTCAGAGAGGTTAAGTAATTTGCCCATGGTTACATAGCTAATTTGTAGTAAAAACTGATTCCAACCCAGGTTTGTCTGACTCCAAAACCCTGCATCTCCCACTATGCCACATAGCGCCCCCCACCTCCAGGAGGGGAGAGGCCCTTTGCAGAGTGGGTGAGTGGGCTTTGGGAACAGAGAGACAGCATGATAGGTGAGAACAGGCTGGTCTAGGGACACTGTGAGCTTCAACCAGCATTTAGGAAAGACCCTGGCTCCTCCCTCCCCAGCTGGGTGACCCCTGGGTCAGGGCTTCTGGGGTAAGAGGGCTAAAGGAAGAGGCAGACTCTAGCCAACCCACCCCTCATAGCTTTAGATGGTCTTACAAAGCATGGTGTCAAGATGGCTTTTCCCTCCAAGTGGAATCTGTTGTGAGGGGTTGAACTGGACCCCCAATACGTGGTCTGTGGTCCTAACAGTGGCCACAGAGAGGCCCCAGGAAGTGGCAGGGACCAGGGAAAGTGGCGGTCTCTCCCTCATTCTTCTCTTGTTCACCACCTGCTCCAGGCTGGCCCGAGTCTCTGGCCGCAGATGGAGCCGCGAAGACTGGGGCTAAGGAGGCTCAGCCCCACGAGGGAAAGGGGGAGCAGGAGCACTCCCAGCAGGAGGAGGAGGAGGAGGAGGAGGAGGAGATGGCAGGGGCCCCTCAAGGCCTCTTTCGGGGCGGGAAGAGCAGGGAGCCCGAGCAAGAGGAGGAGGAGGAGCGGCTCTCCAAGGAGTGGGAGGATGCCAAGCGATGGAGCAAGATGGACCAGCTGGCCAAGGAGCTTACGGCCGAGAAGCGGCTGGAGGGAGAAGAGGAGGAGGAAGACCCTGACCGCTCCATGAAGCTCTCCTTCCGGGCCCGGGCCTATGGCTTCAGGGGTCCTGGGCTGCAGCTGCGACGAGGCTGGAGGCCATCCTCCCGGGAGGACAGCATCGAGGCCGGCCTGCCCCTCCAGGTGCGCGGCTACCCGGAGGAGAAGAAAGAGGAAGAGGGCAGCGCCAACCGCAGGCCAGAGGTTGGTATGGGATGGGAGCCGGTTCTGGGTCAGGCCCCTGCACCACCGAGGGGACATTGTCCCCTTGGAATCTAAGACTGGAGAGGCTGTCAGGTTGGGGGCTTCTGGGGAGACTAGGAAGGGACAGGAGAAAGGGTGTATTAGGCTGGGAGGCAAGTGAACCCCAGCCCACAGGAAGCACCCAGTAGAGCTGGCAGACAGGCAGATGGGAGACGGAAGGGTTCAGATCAGTATGTAGAAGATGGAGAGTTGGTGAGTTAAGCCAATCCCTGGAGGTGATGGGAGGAAACTTTGTCCTGAAAGCAATTAGGAGCCTTTGCAGGTTTGGGAGCAGGACAAGGGAATGATGGGCAGAGCTTGGCACTTTGGATGGAGAGAGCTTGGAAAGTGAAGGACCTTGCAGAGACTGGCCTCGGGAGGTCTGCTGGCTGGGGATCCAGCCTCAGGGCACCATTGGCCCTGAGAGCTAGGAGGCCATGGCGGGAACAGAACTAAGAGACAGGTGGCATCCGGGGAAGACTCTACCGCTGGTCCAGCCATGTCCTCTCCTGGCCCCTGTGCAGCCCGACCGCGCCCTCCTCCCAAGTTCAGGCCCTGCCCCCCGCCTCGATGGCAGAGGGGGCAGGGGCAGGGCCAACTGGACCTCGGGGCCTGATGGTGATGGGTGGGGGAGGCTTGGATCTGAGCCAGAAGACCTGGGTTCTGCCTCCTCCTAGCTGGGTGATCTTGAGTAAGTCACTCTCCTTCTCTGAGCCTCATTGTTTCCCCCATTTGTGAAATAAGGGTGAGAAGTCCTTTCTGCTCACCTTAATTATCATGATCAAAACACACGCGAGCTCTGAAAACCTGGCCAAGCTCAAGGCTGCTTGGAAAGCTCAGTGGGGTGCAGGGACGCAGCCCCGTAGGGGGAGTGTGGTGAGAGTTTGGGCAGGCTGGTGACACTGCCTTAGAGCTGGACGAGGCCTTGGGGGGCTTTGTGGCTCAGGCCTCAGCGCCCAGGTGGGACTCAGGGCCCAGTGTGGAGCAGGGACATGTCCAAGGTCCTGTCCCCAGTGCTCTTCTCCGCCCACAGAGGAGGATGTGGCCCCTTCCTCAGGTCCCCAGCCCTCTCTCTGGGCCTGGGACCAGAGTCTTGGCAGCTGAGAGGAAGAAGACTCCTCGGCAGCTGGAGCTGCCTGTATCCCCAGGGACTGAGGGGACAGGCCTACAGGAAGCGGCAGCTCGACCCCCACCCCTCCCCTTTGGACCCAAGGCTGGGCACCTCTGATCAGCGCCTTCCCCACCCACAGAAACTGAAGAGAGCGAGGTGCCCGGAGGTACCAGCCAGCTTCCCTCCTGCACAGGCAGAGGGAGCCCTGGGCTGCAGGGTGGAGAAACGGGGACTCTCGAGTCCTGTGGACTGGGATGAGGCAGGCCCCTCCACCCACCAAGGGTCTTCTTAGAAACAGCCCCAGAATCACAGAACCCATGCCTGGGGGCTACTCCAAGACGGGAGTCTCTAGGTTCACTATTTCCATGGCAACCATTTGCCTATCCATCCTGACTGGGCCCCAGGGAGATGCCCTCTTCTTGAAATCAGGCTGGCGCCCCGGGAAGATCACCCCTCTCATGTCACAGCTGAGGTGTGCCCCTCCTGCTCCGAGTCCTGGGCATGCTCTTGTGGGCGGCAGTCCCAGAGGCTGGGGTGCAGAGCAGGCCTCACAGAAGGGTCTCTGCTGCCCTGGACCACCCTGGCAGCCAGAGCTTGGGGACCCCGCGACTGGGACTGAGGATCGAGGCCCAGCCCTAGGCAGCTCTCACGTCTACCCGTGCCTCAGGCCCCAGGCCCCTCAGGTAGGGAGGCCTGCAGCAGACAGGAAACCCAGGCACGGCGTCACCCTGGGAGCCATCGGCACAGTCTAGGCCTTGGGATGAGGGGACCGGAAGGAGTTCTGAAGGGCACCAGAGTCTCTGTTTCCTACGTGCCTGCCCAGAGCTGCTCAGGAGGAGGCAGGCCTGGATAAGAGAAAGGGCGTAGGGTCCAGGCACATTCTTATGCATAATACCAGAGCAGCCCAGTGGGGCAGCATTACTGTCCCCATAGAACAGATGAGGCCCTTGAGGCTCAGAGAGGCAAAGCCACCTGTCTGAGGCCACACAGCAAACCTGGGGTACAACCAGTCTGGCTACAGAGCCATGCTGCTGGCACAGGCTCCCTGGGCCAGTCCCCACGTAACCCTGGATGCTCTCTCCTAGGACCAGGAGCTGGAGAGCCTGTCAGCCATCGAGGCGGAGCTGGAGAAGGTGGCCCACCAGCTGCAGGAGCTGCGGCGGGGCTGAGGCGCCAGCCGGCCCCACCAGCCAGGGCTCCGAGGCAGCTGATGGTCCTGGCTCTCTTGTCCCCTTTGCAGATCCTGGCCAGACGGCCTGAGCGCTGCTTCCGGTAGGGAGGTGGCCCCCAGCCTGCTCAAGCCCAGGCCACCCTGTTGCCCCCATGCTCCCTTCCCCCTGCTCCTGCCCCCTGCCCCAGTGTGCCCCTCTGCAGGGCGGACCCTTGACTTTAAACGAATATCCTCTTTCTGAATATGGGCAGCTTTCTTGAAGTTTCCTTTCCACCATTAGAGCCAGTGGGCACAACTGCAATAACTTCTGACCTTTTGGTGAAAGCTGAGAACTCATGACTATAACATACTCTGTTCAAAATTTATCCAAGGAAAAATAAATCTGCTCTGGGCTCTTTCCTGTTTCTTTGAAAGTTTGCCCCTCTTGACTCCAGATGAGGTGGGATGAACGGGATCCAGGCAAAAGGACAAGGGGAATTTCAGTCCCCCTGCGGTGACTCTCTTCTGGGCCACTTTTGAGGCATGGGATCATGGGTGACTGACATTGCAGCTCTGAGCATCAGTTTCCTCATCTGTAAAACGGGGATGCTGACACCTGCCTCAAAGTGCATGTGGGATTAAATAACACTCTTCCCCTATCTCCCAGCCACATGTGAGCTGGGCCATGCAGGGGCGGGGCCAGTTTGGGAAACAGCCTCCGCTCTCTGCGGTGCTGGCTGAAGCCTTAGCCCCAGAATAGCCCACCACCGAGGCCACAGGTCGCAGACCAGCTTTGGACTTCCTAACCTGGGGCTTTAATCATAGCATAAATCTGTCATCACCTCTGACCTGGGACATGCATAGGATTCTGGGGCATCTGAAGTTCTTGTGCACTTAACAATTCACTATAGCAAGGTGGTCTGGGTCTCAGTTTTGAGAATGAGGAAACTGAGGTTCAGATGGTGACATGACTCCTCAGAGTCATAGGCAGGACCGGTGCCCAAAACATTTAACCAAGGGGGCTGCAGGAGTATGCAATCAGGACAGACAGGCTGATGCGCTGGATCAGTGTGGACCAGCTCAGTATCAGGGCCAATCATCCAGTCATTCATCAAAAACTTGTGAACAGCTACTTTGGGCCTGGCAGGCCTGGGCACACAGAAACGGCCGGGACAAGCCCTGGCTTCAAGGAGCGCACTGCCCAGAAAATATGCGTTTTGACATCAGGCTGGAATTAGAACCCCCAGCCTAGCTAGAGAGCTCGGCAAGCATTCCTGGCTCTCTGAGCCTCCGTTTCCCCTTCTATGAAATGGGGATAATACCTACTATCTCCTCACCAGATCACAGCAAGGATCTGAGGGGGTCTAGACAGCCTGGACCGGAAGACCATTACAGTGATGGCTGGAGGGGTCTTGGCAAGTCTGCGCCTCTCCTGGGGCTGGCGAGGGGGCTGCCTGCTGCTGCTGACGCTCGTCCTCCCAAGCAAAGAGGGACACCCTCTGGAGAGCTGGTGCCATAAGGTGTTTATTCACATGTTTCAAAGAGACAGGTTTGCACCCCACCCCCGACAGGTATAGAAATAACAAACACAGCACTGACTGTATTCCACAAATAAGTCAGACATCAGAACACCCACTACCGAGACTAGTCAGCAGATAAAGAGAACACAGGACACCTTGTCCCTGAAAAACCCCATCCCTGAGATGGGCCACCTGCGTTGTCATAAGCACACAGAGCAAATGTGCAAACACATCAAAAGAGCCAGTGGTTCTTAGTTTTTACAGAAGCTGTGGTTTTATATATAGTGTATATAAATTCATATAAACATTTTATATATGTATGTACACAAATTAAGTATAAGCCAGCTTGGGGTTCTGGCAAACGCGGCTCGTGAACAGGATTGAAGGAAACAGCATTTGTCACAGAGCACAGGTGTCAGCACTAAAACTGGAACGGCCAACATCTTGGTGAAATCACCAGGGGAGAAGTTGAGAGAGAGAGCGAGCGAGAGAGAGAGAGCGAGAGAGAGCGAGAGAGAGCAAGAAGCTTCAGAGAAGTGGGATCCACACCCACCCTGGAAGACGCGGTTGCTCAGGCTGTGGGGAAGGGACCGTCCCTCCAAGCCGCCACATCATGGGTAACTCTGGAAGCAGAAGGGAAATGCAACCATTTCTGGGAAAGGACCCCCAGGTGGCTTGGGTGGGGCCTGGTGGTTTCATGCCAACAGGCAGCTCTCCTGGGAATGGCGTGGGGACAGGCTCACTCCAAGATCACACTGGCAATGCCGTGCAGAGAAGGGGCAGAGGCGCAGACCCTTTGTCACGGAGGGTGGGACTAATGGGAGGACCGCCTGTCCAGAGGCCTCATCATCTCAGACCCAGGCATGGGCAGGTGGTCATGTGTAGCATCGGTGCGTGGCCAGGCTCACCGAGGCAGTACCTGCCCAGAACCTTCATCAAGGATCAACGTACTCCTCTGCCTCACAGTAAGCCATGTGTGTGTGTGTAGAGGGGGAAGCTGGGCTCCTGCAGGTCAGCCAGCACCCCGCTCAAGGCCTCTGGAGCTCAGGGACCCTTGAGCTGTGGCCCAGGGAGGGAGAGGGGCCATCAGGGATCCTGCTGGGTGAAGGGTCAGTTTCTAGCAGGGAAAAGAGAGGGCAGATGCAACCCCCAGGGACATCAATGAAGCCAGATAGCGGCTCTCTGTGGCCAGTGGTCAGTGCCAGTTCCCAAGCCTAGGACCAGTCTTCCCGCAAGGACAAGGACACGCAGTCTCCCTTGGTCTCAGAGGGGCCGCCTGGCAGACAAGAGCTGCTTTTCCCAGTTGGCTTGAAAACTACAGCTTCCTGCCAGGGTCCTTCAAGCTTCCATAAAGTCCCCTTGGCAGTCCTCTGGTAGAGGAATTATTTCTCAAGGTTGTTTTCTCCCTCATTGATGGCATTAAAGATACGGGCAAGCCCACTTAATGCCCCATGTAACTCCTCGGGGACTCCGGATGCTTCTGCCTCCTGCAGGTGATGCTGGGTGACCTCAGGTCCAGGCCAACCCACCCTGCACTGCAAACCCAGACACCTCCATGCTGCCAACGGTAAGGACTCCCCTGGGCTCTCTTGGGGAGGACAGACATCCAGCGCCTGCACTCAGGTGGGGCTCGGTGTTTGTGGAACCACATCATGAGGTAACTTGCCAGCTGAACTTGGCCCGAGACCTCTGCTCCAGGTGGCCCAGGGCAGAGACCTTGCAAATGACCCTCTGGCCCTGCCATTTGCTCCTGAAGCCCTTCAAGTCAGAGCACCATTCAGCAGCCCCAGCCACTGACCACCACCCAGGCAGATGCTGCAAGGCCACAGACCCCAACATGCCCAAGTGGCAAACAAGCTTGGGAGGGAGAGACCCAGCTCCCTCTGGGACGCTAGCAGGGCCAACTCCAAGCGCCACACCTGCACACCATAGTAGGTCCTTTCCACGGGCCCTCGAAGGTTCTGAGACTGATCAGGGCAGCAGCACCAAGCTCTGGGGAAGAGGAGGCTGCAAAGGCTGAGTGCATTTATGGGGTCTGTCTTTCCCTGACGCAGAAGCCCCAAGGCTGGGGGCAGTGAGGCCTGAGGGGAGACCAAAACCATGGCTGGTGTCCTGACACCCAACCAGAGCGCACCAGTTGACACCGAGGGCACGGGGATTGTCTCATCACTGCCCACAACCCCTCTCCTCATCTGTGCCCCCCGACACGGCTCGCTCCACCCCTGCAGATATGGCCGCTGTCTGCTGGACGGTGTTCACCAGCGGGGAGGCCTGCACGTGCTCTTGAACGCGGCCACTCTCTTTCCCAGCGCCGAGCAGCTTCTGGGCCTTTATGAAGCCAAACCCCACCCCTCGGTTTCCACTTCTGGGAAAAGCAGTCACCCTGCTGGCCACCTGCATCAACGCCGGTGGAAAGCGCGTCACAGGAACACAGTTACTTGATTATCTGGGCCCTGGACGCTGCCATGCGAGACCCCAAGGGGAGGCATCAATTAAATAGGACATGACACGGCCAGGGCCCTGCCTGGCACTGGGGTTATAATGCACTCTTGACTTGTCCTGAGGCAGATGGGGACTGAAATCTTACTGTAAGCTGTTTTATTCAGAGACTGAAGGAGGACATAAACTTTGAGCAACATTTTGTAAACACCTGTGAAATGCAGTTTGATTTCAGTAGTTTATTTTGGAGACAAAGCAGTGCAAGAGGCCGGCCACGCTTTCCTGCTTCCCCGGGGCTCAGGGTTAGACTAGGAAAGGCGACATACAGACGTTATAATCAGGGTTCAACACTCAAGTCGTGTAAACATGGTGGTCGGCAGGCCCTCGGTTTCTAGGACAGCCAGGCAGCTCTGACGGCGTCTGCCCCCACCCCAGCCCTTCCTTTCCCAAAGGTGGGTGACCCCATGTCCCTGCTGACCAGGTCTGAAGGTGCCTCTGAGCACCCAGTCAGCAGCCCCTCGGTCCATCCTCCCTGGGCCACATAGGACAGCCCAGAGGCCTATTCCTCTTTCTCAAAGTTACGGATAGCTCAAGATACAAGATCACACTCAGGGAGTTCTATGCATCTTGCCTGGTGTTCACTGTCCAGGATTGACAAAACCCCTCATCTGCCCCCTCCTCTGCAAAGGGGGCTGTTGGCCCACCTGGACCATGGGATCTGACTGGTCAGCAGTGTCCCATCTGCTGCCATCAGGGGCTGGGGTGACCCTAATGGGGGAGGGGTAACGTGGCTCCTCACTTCTGGGGTTGCAGCCCCCTAGCACCTGGCTGGCTTCGTGCTTGGGGCTGGCAGTGAACACGAGAGGGGAGGACTGGGCCGCTGCAGCAGGGGACTGGGCAGGTGAGCTGGAGTGGAGCGATGGGCAGCCTCCTCCTGCCTGGGAAGAGGGCCCCGAGTCACCTCGATGCCAAGGGAGGCTCGTCTGGGTTGACTTCACAGAGAAACAGGCTGCAATGCAGGGCATAGGAAGTGAAGCCTGCCCTTGAGTTCTCTGGTCTTGACTGCCCAGCGACTCCTGGAATGATTCGCCCAAAGTCACAGCACAAATCCTTGGCACAGGTAGGATCAGCCCAGAGGCGCCCAACCAGGCAGCCTCCTCCCAGGCCCGGGAGCAGCAGTGCTTGGTCAGGGAGGGAGGCTGCTCTGCAGGGCTGCATGGGACAGGCGCTGACGGGCCTCGTGGACACAGCGAGCTGGACGTGGAGCGAGGCAGCCAACCCAGGGTCGTGGCCTTCCCAAGGAAGCTTCCTCCTCCTTCACCTTTGTGAGCAAGCGGCAGGTGGACCACAGCCCAGACCCCCTGCATGGAACCCCCCAAGGAAACGGCAGCTGCGGCCTCTTGCCTCCGCTGGCTCACCCTTTCGGGTAGAGGCAGCTGCACATCCGGTGGGGCTGCAGGCCCTGCTCCTCACAGAGCTTCCCAACAGGAGAGGAAATGGCAAAGGGGCCGTGCCTGGGCATGGGGGCTTGGAGAGGAGAGAGAGGCGGGGAGCCGTTCACTCGCTCTGTTCAGCCACCAACAGCCTGACCAGGGATGGCCTCCTCCAGGGTCCCCAAGGCCTGGTCCACAGCAGCCATTGAGAAGAACAGACGTGGACGCACACACGCACTCACACACACACACACACACACACAGAGGCACACACACCCCACCTCACATTCGACCTAGTGTTAGAAAACACAAGCGTGTGTAAACTCAGTGAAGAGGTCTGCACAGCAGGAATCAGGCGGGATTGTCCCTTTTCCGTGAGGCTGGACCTACTTTGGGGTTTTTTTTTTCCATTCTTCCCCCCACCCCTCATTTAGATCATGACTTCAGAAAATCAAGGTTAAAAAATTAAAAAAAAAAAAAGAAAGAAAGAAAGAAAGAATACAAATTAGTTAGGAATTCTTAGTAGTAGCGTCACCGTT